TTTCCTGCAATCTGTCTTGTCGACATTAAGCTGGGCTTTTTTGAATTTGGTATAAAAATGTCGTGCCTTTTCTGTGCTTGTGTTGGAGAAGATCTTGAGGAGCACACGTCTCTCTAGTCTCTTAAATGTATAGTTTGGTTGCTTTTCCATCAAAGTTCTTGCTAATGGGTTAGGATGATTTTGTATAATAATAATAATTTTTATAATAATTTTTATTGCTCAACAAAAGTAGGTACATGAAAAGATTGAATACCCTGATTTCTATGCTAGGATAATAACCCTGTGTTACAGAAATCAGTGTCTTCTCCCAAAGATATTTTAAAAACTAGTTTAGTTAAATGTTTCGTGTCCTAAATGTGTGTGTGTGTGTTTTACTACATTTTTACTGGGTATTACGTTAAGAAAATGTTATATAAAATTAATACATATTATACGTTATATAAATAATTAAATCAACACATAATTTGCTATTTTAAGATAGATTTTTACATCTCAGTGAAACAGAACCTAAATGTAACGTAATGTAATAGTAATGTTGAAATAGTAAATTGAAACAATACTTTAAAATGTTTACTTAATAAATATAATAAATAAATAAATATTTCCGACACTCACACCAATTAGCCTAGCCCCAAAGTAAGCACTATAACGCTTGTGTTATGGGATGCTAGGGTAACGGATAGAATACATACACTGTACATATATAAGTATATTTATATAAATACATATTAAACATCCATGACTGGAGTAGAAATGCTCGTATTCGTCACACAAACATCTGCCCCCACCGGGATTCGAACCCGGGACCTCTCGAGTTGGCGACAGCCATGAAACCCGGCGTACAAACCACTCGGCCACGGAGGTCGTCATAATACATATGACGTATGTTCTGTAGAAGGAAAGTTAAGAGTCCTTTATTTCTTCTCTTTCAGGTTTGATTTTTAGATCATGGTGCAAGTGATTATTTCTACAAATAAATGATAAAAGTTCCAGCAATTAATGGCATAATTAATTTGCGGCTGGTTAGGCTCACAGGTAGTGTGTGTGTTTCGCGGCTGATAATCCTCCGGCAGCCTCTGGGATGCAGGAATCGGTTCTCTTCGTGTGATAGGTAGACTTAGCACCTAGAACCCAAAGGACAGCACCTTAATAAATTCCTCCTGGACTCTCGAGTAGGCCTGTTGAAAATATATCGATGTATCGATATATCGATATTTTTTGTTCGATATATCGATATTTTTAGCCGATATATTTTGATTCGATATATCGATACATCGATTCAAAATAACCAATATCGAAATTCGTATGAAAAACTTTTTTTTTATTATTAGCGGCATATCACGATCTAACTAAATTCGTATCCGGAAAAATCGTAACTAGGTCTCAGATAAATGATATTCAACATATCTATGATCTGTGCTGTATTTAGTATTGTCTATGATTTGTAAATCTGTTTCGCTGGTGAATTGGTTGTGCTGAATTCCATTATATTCTGTGGAAGTGTGTGACTGTCTAGTCTTGTTTACGAAAGATGGCACCTGAGAGGCCCTGCAATCATTTTCATCATTCGAAAATAGGGTCTATTTTTAGGGAGATAATTTTCGTTCCATTATTATTCCGCGTATCATCTTTCGTGAGATACTGTACTGTCATGTAGTGTAGCGGCAATTTGGTACTTTGATAATTCTTTCTTTAATTATAATTTGTATTGTTATTATTACTGTGCTAGGCTGACCTACATATATTTTTGGGAAAATTGGTCCGATATATCGATATTCTTTTCGCGATATATCGAAGCCAATATCGATATTTTTTTCAACTTTCGACATCCCTACTCTCGAGACGGTCCTGGGAAGAATTATATATATTGGGTTGGGCGAGCAAAATGAGCACCTGGACTCCGGCAACCTCCCGCTTTGTAGATAGTAAGGCAGTGCTGTAATTGTTTTTGGGTTTTTAATATCATTGGTCAGTACGCAATATCCATGCAAAAGACATGGTCAATAACGAGCATAATGTTAATTTACCTTGACCAGGGATGGGTAATCTTTTTCCTTACCGTGCAAATATTTACTAGTAAAGTCAGTGGCGGCGCTAGACCACATGTGGACGTCGGCAACATCAAGTTCGCGAGGCCTATTTTACTTCGCAGTAAAAAACCGTTAAATTAAGTGAGCGAAATTATAAAATAACGTATGAGTAAACGAGCTTTATTGTTGATAATCAAATGATGACAAAAAATAATTACAAATATAGAAATTTAATTACAAAAATAGTGTTGCCAGACAGACGATTCTGAATACCTGTAAAGTACTACTCGCTTCCATCACGCACGTGTTCGAAAATAATAAAAGTCATTATCATCTGCTTAGCTTTTTCCCCGAATTGTTCGGGGTCGGCTACCTAAGCCAGGCCAGGAGAAACGAAAATAAATAGGTAACTTGTAAAATTTTTTTGCGAGGCCGCCAGGCGCGAGGCCGTCGGCGGTGGCCGTCGTCGCGGACGCCTAGCGCCGCCACTGAGTAAAGTCTATGGCGGCCCGGGTTTCTTTTATTGGTGGTTATTTCTATTTTTTTTTTGTTCAAGCAGTATTATAAATAATAACTAGTTTAGAAATCAAAACTACCACCATTAACGGTCGCATCACAATACATATACGAAAATTTATTACTTGTAAGAAAAAATATTAATTTGTTTCTTAAAAACAGTGATGTTCACACAATTAATACAAGAAACAAAAATAAACTAACTTTACCTGCTACTAGGCTTCACAAAATTAATAATTCATTTAAAGGTCTTTGTGTTCGCTTATACAATAAAGTCCCAAGCAATATCTAAGAGTTAGCCATAAATAAATTTAAAGATATCATAAAAAAAAAACACTTATTAAAAAAGCTTATTACACAGTGTCTGATTATATTACAGACAAAAATGCTCGGGTTTGAACTGTTCCAATCATTCCGACAGGTTTTCTAAATTAAATAAATCATAATTGTATTGACGTTGTAACAACATAATGATTTGTAAATGATGTTACATTAGACTTTTAATGTTGTGGAGTTTTTTCGCTCGTTTTTCTCCGCAGCTAAAAAATATGTCCATAACGAGTGGTAGGGAAAAAAAATTTTTGGACGATTCAAAAGAGTTGTACTATACATCCAATTTGAATAAAGATATATTGATTTCTGATTTTTAAGATAAAGCCACACTGGCCATCGTTTGGCATGTTTTTATCTGGCAACAATAGTCAGGGGTTAGGTACAAACCAATCGCCTTCATTAGTTTCCGACTGATATGACTATTACTATCAGCTGAAATTTAACAACTTTAACGTAAATAATGACATAAATAAGTGTCCAATTTTGTTATTGTATTTCAAGCTACTTTGAGTTATTTTCTATAGAAGCAGTCGTCTTAAGTTCATTCCTTTAAGTGTTAAGTAAGTTGGCTTCGCTGTCGTACTCTTTGAACGTGAATAGTATATTGTACACGCTAGACTAGGACTTATAGTTGCACCTTGGGGAACTGCCTCGGTCTGGACCGAGTGACTGGTCACGTGCGGGGAAGTGATAGCACTCAGAAGCCGTTTAAATCCCTCTACACTATCAATTTTAAAGTTGATATAGACAGACTTCGTAAAATTGACAGACGAAGGAACTGTTTATTGAAGTATATATATACATTTCAAAGGTCAGGAGCTAGTTTGATGTCCATATTACTGGGGTGCAATTTTCTCTTTGTTGAGTTGAAGACAATATTATCATTTCGATCGAAGATAGGGCCATCGGCCATAAACAAACGTCGGACATCTACGTAGATGTAATAAATGAAATATGTTAATGATGATATTTGATTCTTTCTTAGGTATACCTATCTGATGCAGCTTCCTATATACTAAATAGAAAGTTAACTATAAAAATTTATTGTAACTGTATATCTATATTCGTATCTCTGAAGTCATTTTTCAACTTGACGATTCTGTATATAACAATACAGGAACAAAGAAACAGCCCTTGCCGAGTTTCTTGCCGGTGCTTCTCAGTACAAGGTCTCCCGCCGTAGTTTTGCGAACCGATGGCGTAGCTTCTTGACCTTCACAAGTGCTTGTAACAGCCTAGACTGAATAAAAGATTTTTGATTTTGATTGATTTTATAAACGTACACTTTTGATATTCTCTAGATCTCGCAAGACTTATCAATGTACGTTATCCTTTCAATATCTGAGAACTATCTAACTGACTATAATTTGGGAAACTTACCTCTAGAGATTTCACATAACGCAATGGAATCATCAATTAAAAATTTGTCTAATTGCATGAACAGCAAGTGAAGCACGTGGCTTGATGGTTATCTGATGTCAGCTTGTGTCGTGTCAGAGTTCAAGTTCGCTGTTTGTTAAATGTTTAACACATTGTCGCTTCGCCGCCAACCCAGAACAATATTTCTCATTCATTATTCATTTTTTTATCTTTTGAATAATATCGATACGTTTATAAATACCTCAATATCTCTTTGATGGAGACGATGACACGCGCGACGATTATTTGCTGTTTAATTTCTAGCCGGCTTAACCTTTGAGGTGTATGGCTTAATAAAAAAATAAATAAATAAAAAAAATAAAAAAAACTTGTTGAAAAATCACTCGAATTGATATTAGTATGTGTGTGATCGAATTGATGTAAGTAGACTTTACTGTATGAAAACTACTAGTATGAAAGTTAAAATTTAATTTTAAGGGTTTGTCATTCACAATACATAACTAACTGGGCCCGCAAATTCGAAGAAGACGCAACGAAATGAAGGTAGTAACTGAACCACCCAGATATGAGACCAGACGTAAGGGATGTACTACTAAAAATAGACATTGTTCTAAACTAACTTTAGGAACAACTTTTTGTACTAAGGCTAAAAGTTTTCACGAAGTCCAATTGATATTTTTTTATATACCTTAAAATATAACATATATACAACATAGCTAAATCATACCATTTCTTTTACAGAAAATCGAAGATAAGTCCTCGGAGCTCTCCGATGAATCAGAGGAAATAAGTGAGTATTTACTCATAATTATGATATTCGTTGTTTATTAATTTGTTCATTTGATTACCAAGTATTTTACACAAACACCGCTCTAAAGAAAATTCTTTAAAGAATTTCGCTATGAGAAACTTTCGGAAAAATTATGATACTCAAAGCACGTGATATTGGAAAAGATTCCAACTAATGTAAATATAATAATCTCGTCACAATGTTTAATGCATTTAATATTTTGCTGAAAGCGAATGCAGCTGATTGCAAAGCTCTCCTATTATGGGCCTACTTTTGTAACATTTTCCATATTTCAGATCATCTTCTCGCTATGAGAGCTATTCCTCTCTGTTTTTTATCTACCGGTTATGATTATGTACTTTACATATTTGCAATAATGGAGCAGCGATGTGTGCCCAAGGCACGTCTAACGATCTCCGGGAGGATCGTTAAGAAATCGCAAGATCTTTACGCTCTTGCAGTGAGTTAAAAAGTTGGATCACATTAGAATGGGATTTTACTAATATTGATGATAGTTTCCCATAATTTGTTATCGACAAATCGTGCCTACATTTTGAATGGATACACAATTTTATTTGTTTAACAGAGGACCCGACCGCATTGACTACCTCGTCGCGGGCCATCATGCAAATGTGTATTAAATAGGTACATTGTATTTGTGTGTTATTGTACCCATAATAATTTATCTATGGATTGTTTTGTGTTATACTAGCTCGTTTAATGTGTACGGCTGCGTCCTTGCTGTAAGCGTTTATTAGTGACATAAGTGTTCCTAAGGTTCGTAAATGCGGAGTGCTAGGCTTATAGAAGTGAACAACGATAATGTGAGATAAGGTTATGGTCGCGCTAACAGCGGGCAGACAGTGTGAAGAAATTATACATTTATTTTTCTTTTCAGTCTTAAAATAAAATTTTTAGTGTTCCAATTTATAATTTTACGACCATCATAGACTGCTGCATAACTTTAATTTTGTCTATTCAGCAGATTTCAATTGAGTCTTATAGTATCAAAGGCGGTAAAGTAGGGCGAACCAAGTATTTGGCAAATCAAAAAAAAAACTGTTTAGTCTCGTCTTTAAGGGAGGATTTTTATAATTGACATTCATCATAACTACAAATCGTAGTGAAATGTCAAAATTTTATCCTCCCTTAAAGTCGAGACTAAACAGTTTTTTTTTGATTTGCTAATATTTGGTTCGCCCTACTTTGCCGCCTTTGATATTGTACGACTCAATTATCCCCTCTTATTCCTCATTGTGTCAGATATCACCAGCCCAGGGTGAAACAAGTAAATTTAATTGGTGTTATTTATTATTTATATTGGTTAGCAAAGTAATTGTATTTATGTTAGCAAAAATTGTTAATTGGTTAGCACAATTAGCCAGTTGGACAACAGTTTATAGTCAGCAAATGTTTCAGAGTCAGTCTGCAATTAATATCATCCTGAACAGCAGTATTTTTTTTTGTACAACCGATAATATATAAAAGCTGCAATATCTACCTATATTTAATTAAATTTTGGTAAGCACTCAGAGAGTAAGCAAAAAATTGTATTGCGTGTCGCTAATATAAGTCTAGCAAAAATATTATACTTGTCATGCACAAGATGAGCGCATCCCTTACAAAGATTATTTTATTTATATTCTCTCTTACTAAGTTTATTTAGTAATATTAGATGGGATAGTGTTTGTGATATAATAATTAATAATTTGCTTTATTTTAATAATTATAATACAGATCCAAAAGAAGGTAGGAAAATGTAACAAAATATTGTTATAAAAACAACCAATAAATTTATTCTTAATTCTTATTGTATTATTAATGTTCGTTTGCCTATGAATTTCCTTTTTTCCTCTATAGGCTCCTACTTTAAAAAAACACTGTTGATTTTTCAATGAAAACGCAATCTAAATAATATTGCTAACCACAAATTTAATATGAATACCAATCAAATACACAGCTTAAAGAAATGTTTTTCTGCTGCCCAATTCTATAATGTTGCTGTCCAAATAATTATTATGCGGTGTGACAGTTTATTTTGAAGATACATAATAAAACAAACTGCACGATTTTATTTAAATTACTGACCATTAACATGATTGTTTAAAGAACAAGAATTGCAGCCAGCCCTTTGTATGCTGGCCAAATAATTATTAGACTGCTTTTTTTGCTAACTAATATTATTAAATGGCTTAATAAATAATTTCTTCTCGAATTTAATTTATTGTCAAATTCTATTCCTTAACTTAAAATTTTTATTCATTCTTACTTGAGTTTCACTTATAATTTTATTCCTTTTTTAAACTACTGCACAAAAATAAAAAATAAGAAACATGAATACAAACTACCATAACTTCTAAACCCTTAAGCTGATTTTGATGTATGTGGATCTTTCACTATCCCGGTCGAGATGTCTAATTTAAATTAATTAGCTATCTTTAACTAAAGTGACGCAATGCTAAACATTTTGTTTTTGTAACCAAGAAATAACTTTATCTTTATTATGGGCCCATGGGGTTTGGACATCCAAGCCCTCGTTCCTTTTTGAAGCAATTATTAAAGGGACTCACCGATGTGACTGGTGACCAAAAAGCTGGCTCTCTATCTATCTTGGTCAACGCATCAGCCTTGCCATTCAACTTGGCAATGCTGCCAGCCTATTGTTCGCCATTCCTGACGACAAAAATTTCATCCCCATCATCTTGATGCGTGGCTTTCCACAACCGTTCGTTTTTGTCGAAATTTTTTACCACGTACGACAAAACTGTGGAATATATTGTCGCCAGCAGTATTTCCGGACCAATGCGACCCAAAAACCTTCAAAAAAAGAGCGTACTCCTTCCTTAAAGGCCGGCATCGCATTTGTGATACTCCTGGTGTTGCAAGTGTTCATGGGCGACGGTAATCACTTACCATCAGGTGAGCCATCTGCTCGTATGCCCCCTATAACATAAAAAAAACCGCTGTAGGGGTTGTACATATTTTGTAAATAAGATTTTATTCGTGAGTTATTTTTATTCTTTAAGGTGATTTGGATTCAGATTTTATACATTAGTTAGTATTTTAATTGTTGTAATTTAATTTATAAAGACAAATGCTTAAAAGTACTTAATGTCTAAAAACTTAAAAACCAGAAATAACTAAGTACTTAAATAATAAACAATTCACAAAATTATAAATTAATACATGTCTATAAATTAATTGCTAAATAGCTAAAATTAACATTATTTACTAGAATACATACAAACATGGTCAAATATCACCGCGTATCGTTTCTGGCGCAAAGTTGCCCATTATGCTTGCAGCATAGCCACGCTGGATGGAAATGGACAGTCTTAAGACAGTTTTTACTATATATTTATTTATTTATATTGTACACACACAACAAAATATTAAATATATTTTTATACGGTAAAATAAACTGACTTAACCTTTAAATATTCCATTAGCTTATCCTTTCTATATTATCCTTTCCTTTCCATCTTATACATGGTGGTTTCATTGTCTCTGTCGCCCGCTATCATCATGGCTCCACCTACATTATTACTACGCGAAACTTTTTGGCCTTCACAAATACTTTTAACGTTTGATCCTTAGGGTCGGCGTTACTTAATAATTATGCCACAGAAAAATCAAGATAGACTCGTTAGTCCTAATTAGGTCCTAAAACCCTGAGTCGCTGCTAGGGTTTTTAGCGTCAAGTATCGTTATTATTATTAGAATTACGTCTTTGGTACTATGTTTGAATCGGTAACTTGATTTAATTATACATTTATTCAGATATTTTTTTAAGCAGTGTAAAGTTCATAATGAAGTTTATTGCTTGGGTTGGCATGGCACCGACTCAAAAATAATTTGACTAAAGAAAAAAAAACCTATTTTCTGCTTTTTAGTTTTTACCGGCGGTATATTTTTTTTTCTATTTTTTCTGGCTTGAATTTTTGTAATATATACAAATCGGCATCAAAATCTGTAAGTGACCAATCAGCCCTATATCCCCATCCTTGGGGTAGGATTTTTGTTTACTAAATTTATCTAATTTATTATCATTGAGGTAAAAATATTTTAAATTCGATAATATTGAGTAAGTCAAAGATCTGAATGAGTGTCAGCTTGGATTGCATGTCTTTTTATATGGAAAAACAATTAAATTATTTTATTGTTTTACGTTCTAATTCTTATTTTTAAATTTAGAATCTTATCAGAAAAAGAAATTACAAAAAAGTCTTCTGTAACACAAAAACAATCTACAGGGCGTCCCACGGCTACCTCACACGGAGGGAAAGTATATTAAATTTCTTTCTTTTCTTTGATATTAATTCAAGTTTTTTTCTTTGATATTAATAGATGGCGAGGCAGGCCTTATGATATTTTATTGGGCAAGCACAATAAACAACTGTACTGCCCAGCGCCAAAAAACTTCCACAAGCTCCACAGTTTACCATCTTTAGTCCAAAAATTTAAATTATAATTATAAAGTCTAAATAAAAGGGAGACAAATAAAAACAAGAACAAAAGTGGGGTCTAAAACAAATATATAAAAAAAAGGAAAAAAAATAAAATAAAAATACGATTGCGGGATTTGAACCGACGACCGCGGTGATGCGTCGAACGTTGGTCCCGTAGCAAAAATTTAACACGCAGCACCGTTTCGACCGATACTGGAAAGGCGAAAATTGGGTTCATATGCACTGTTGTCAGGTTATTTTCGGTACGGAATTTCTGAATTCGATCGCCGCGCTCGAAGCCCGCGATAAAATCTATGCAATAGCTTAAAAAAATAAAGAAAATTGGACTACTCTGTAAAAAGTCACGCGTGATCAAACATTAAAAAAATATAGGCGTCGAATTTGATAAAGTCCACCGTTTTTTTTTTCTTAAAACTTAAAAATAACTTTCGACAGGTCTACATTTGAAACAGAATTGTAGTAACAATCGTTTACTAATTGAATTTATTTGTATACTTTAAAAATCTCATGTGATAAATCAGAATCGAATTG